TCTAAATCCTATCAGACTTATCATTGAAAGGTGAACAAACCGTACATTCAGTGTCTCCAAAAGTAATATTCCATTCCGCCTTCGCGCATAACAATTAACACTTATAGTAACACGATTAACACTAGTTACAGGTTTCTTACCCTCGGTGTAACTATATATTGGATTTTAAACAATTTCTTGTCATTTAATTAAAACATTTGCTACGTGACACTGACCTTAGAGACACGAAACAGCATCATGAATTTGTTCGACACGTTCTTGACCGGTTTTGGACTACAAAGACTAAAATAAGCCCGGTCTGCTTATCTTGGAAACAGACCTCATACCAAAAAAAATATCTAGAGTAAGTTCAACTAAAATTTACCAAAATGCTAAAATCAAAAACCACTCACCTCAGGTAAAAATTCGAAGGTAATATGCTTAAACTTGCCGTCAGACACGAAATAATGCACTAGCTCTTCGTAATTGTACATGGACTTTGACAAAGTCGCTGTTAACGACAGAACATAGGTCTTGTTATCTGCTGGCAACCTCGGCAGGACGTACATGAGACCTGGGTTCAGATGCTGACTGTACCCGGTCGGCTCGAGCTTGGTGGAGTATATAGGAGTATTGGGACTCGCGTCTAAGGCGAGGTACAGCCGGAGCGATTTGTAGTGCTCGATATTGGGTGTGTAAATCAAGACGTTCGTATCCGTGATCTGCGTTGGCTGGATCGCGATGAGGCGAATGTTTTCGATGTCTTTATTTTCTTTTATCTGAAAATAATATGAATGTATTATACACTATATATGACAAACCTTCAACCGGGACCAATTGTTGCTTTGTTCGATTGAAATTTTGACCTTTACTGTCAACATTGGGAGGAAAAACACATACTTTTAAATTGCTTCAAGTTCTAATTTAACTATGATTTTGTGTAAAAACTGTTACTACCCCGAATGACGAAAAATGTTCACATATTTAACAAACATTGAAATTAAAAACAGAAATAGCTTTATACAATATAATAACAGCACTGTCTCTCTCCAAAAAATTACTTACGTTTAGAGTTTTTTAATTATTTGTTATCTTTTTAAGCTGGCGGCTCTGTAGAATTTAAAATGTGAGTTTTGACAACTTGTAAACTTAAAATTGTTAAATTATGCGGAATAGGTAGTGAGGAAGGATTTTCATATGTGTTTTAGATTTATGTTCATACACGTATATATCTGTAACGTGCTTTGATGGTGTAAGTTACTTGAAACGTGCGATTAGCACGCCAGTTGCTCGCATAATGAAAACAAGGTTTGCTTAGATAATTGAATATGAAGCATAGGATATGATGATTTTTTTTTCTGGGAAAATCGCTCAACGATTGGGCGAATTGTGTTCGAATTGAGGAAGATAAAAGATAGCTACTGACCTCAATCTGCGGCGGCTCTTTGCCGGCCAGTTTGAGCGCGTTCTGGTCCGGGACAGCCGGCCGCTTCAGCTGCAGCGTGTACACACACTTCGGGAGCAAGCCTCGGATTCTGCGGAACGTTTTAACCACCATTATCGCGCGTCGCGGTGGGCGAGACGCGTTCTCGAGCCAAGCTCGGCTGACCTGAAGGAGCCGTTGAGCTCGGTGGTGGCCTCCTCGGCGGCGCAGGCGCTGCCGCTGCCGCTGGCTCCGGGCGCGGGCGCGGCCGCCAGCGCGGCGCCGGCCCAGCCCACGCGCGCCAGCGACGCCACGCTGCCCACGCACGACCACGCCACGCGCACGCCCCTGCCCGGAGGCTCAACAAATAAGTCCGATTCGACCAAATTAAGAAAACAACGTCCAGTACGAAGCTTCGTTCGCATCGTGCGTATCTTAATTTGGTCGCCTATTACTATTTCACTGTAAGTGTTTCGGACGGAGAACGAGCGCATATGCTCTACATTATTTTAATGGACAACTCCGCTTTCAGGTAAATAACGAGTAACTTGTGCCTTGTAGTACCTTTCGTTGATTCTCGGATGAATTGTTAAGAAATTCAATGAAATTATAAAATTCAAAATAACTCGACAATTTTAAGAAAAAATAATTAATAATAACCTTTATTTTTTTAAACACGTAATATCAATACTGGTTAGTTGCCTTATTTTGACGATGCCTTAGTTTCTCATACTTGTATCTTTTAAAGAGTGATTATTCAGGGGATCGCCAAATTTTCTATTTATTTTAAATTTCTTATCAAGGGTGTTAATTTACATGCATTACTTTAAGAATAAATAAAAGCCAGTCTGTGAATATGAAGGAAACGTAATGTGAAATCAACCTGCAAAATTTGTATATTCAATGCATTTTTTGCAATTCAGTAACTTTGTGCTTTAAGATACGAGTCTGATTCGTAAGACAACGAAATAAAATCCTCAAGAAAGACTGCGCTGCAAAAAAAAATTACTATAATTATTATTCAAAAAACCTAAACAATAATTTCTATAAATCTCCAGCAATGAGCACCAATAATCTACTAATTAAGTAACCAATAATCGAAACATACAGTACTTAACTTACCTATAAAAAACGTGTTACTATTGTAGAAAATGTTGTCCTTAATGTTGGATATTAATATTAAAAACTTAATAAAAATTGAATTTATTTACAACGTAGAGTTCAACATTACTGTGACCTTACGGGACCTATATTTGACCAACTCTAACTAATTTAAGACCTACGTAACAACATGTATGCAATAAAAACATTTTGATTTGATGTTTTTTACTCAAAACCGGTGTTTAAAAGAACTTTGGCCCTTGCTAAGTGTCCTTTTAGTAGCAATGTAATAATTGCATGTTTTTAATTTTGTACTATAACATTGACTTACAATGATATGGACGTCGGGTCCGCGCTAAAAAGTGACAGCGAAGCAACCAAAATTAGACAGTACTGCGATGACATTACAATTTAAATTCAACGTTTTAGCTTTTTCATATTCCTTTACATGTCACTACGTTTAAATAGGTTGACTTGGGACATTTTTTTCGTGGTTTTTGTATTAGACCCGTCGTCCATTTATTTGTAAGTCAATGTACTATAATATATACACATATTATAACAGTACCATTACGGGTTTTAAACCGTAAAGATGTGAGGGGCACTGCCACTACGCCCATCACCCTGAGACATAAGTTGACAAGTTCCATGTGCTTGTAATTTCACCAGCACTCTTACCCTTCAATACCGGAACACAGTAATGCTTATATTACCGCATGGCGGCAGAAATAAGTAAGGTACTTAATGGAAATAAACATATTATTACATCATGTGCTCGTAATAAATAATAGCGACCGGAATAATGATAAATAAGAAATAGGAAATAAAACTATTTTTTGGGATTTAAATCATGTACATTATGTTTTAATAAAACCAATGTTCCGGGTCCTCTACAGGTCTCATAGTTATGACATGTAAAGGGTCCGAAACGTTAATTTGTTTGAAAATATATATATATGCAATTTAGACCCGAAATAATAGTTTCATTTCTTGTAATAACTAATGATCGAAGTTGAGGGAGTTAATCTACTTAAAGTATGAACGTTTTCTTAGCATGGATATAACTATTACGTCATCAATGCGTATAAAATTTCTTTTCCTACTGTTTATTTTGTAAACATTCCAAAATATAGGTTGTTTTATGTTTATTTTTTAAACTGATAAAGTATTTAAATACGTAACTACTTATTTAGTTTAGTTTAGTAGCAGTAGAGCTCTTTGTGAAAGTGTTCGTCCAGGGTAGTACTGCTACCTTGTCTAGTTCTCCTGTCAAGTAGTAATGTCAGCATTACTTTGTTCCGGTTTTGAAGGGTTAGGGTGCTGGTGAAATTACAGACACATGGGCTTGTTAACTTATGTCTCAGAGTGAGGGGCGCAGTGGCAGTGCTTCTCAGATCTTTGCGATTTAAAGCTCCGAGTGGCACTGTAACTGTTACGGACAGTCGTGTAGCTTACCATCAGGCGCACGACTTGTTTGTCCTGTCACTTGGTGTTATAAAAAAAGCTTTTTGAGACAATAATTTATAACAAATACTCAATAGGAAATAATAATTTGTCGTCAACGTGTTCAAATTTCAATAATAGGCATAATCAGTTCCGAGAAGTCCCAGAATTCCCAGAAGGGAATATCCAGGTTTTTCTTTAGTTTAGCTAAATTAACTCCCCAGTTCCGATCGCTGATTATAGCAATCGTAAATACCTACGAACTCTTTGACCTACTAAAAATGGAATAATGATGTCGCACAGGAAACTAAATACTGTGACTTGCAAGCTGCGGAAGTGAGCGAACGGAAGCGGATGGCACCTGAGCTGCAGGCGGTGCGCGCGGCCCTCGGCCACGGCCACGAGCGTGTGCGGCGGCTGGAAGCGGTACTCCTTCATGTGCGGCTTGACGTAGTACTCGCCCGGCGACAGCGCCGCGAAGCGCAGGCGGCCGTCGGCCGGCGACGCCGCGTTGCGCCGGTACGTGCCGCCGCTCACCGACACCAGCGCGCCCTGCGCAGGCCAAGCCGGGTTTGGCACCTCTCGCCGGAAGTCGCTTGTCCGGTATTTTACTTAGGGGAACAATTACTGCTTCGGTAGCAAAATGTAAACTGGTCACCTCACAATTCTGCAGACTCTCACTTACTGAGGATTGTCATTGGCAAAACAAAAGATCCCTGCGCATTCCGTAATTTTTTTTAGACAGGTTTGAATGAACAATAGTAGTCAATAAATTTGGATAACACTTTTGTTGCCAAGGCGCTCGCCTATTTGTGCTGCCGTGTAAGAGAAAGAATTTCAGTTTTATTTTGTTATAAAAATGTCTGAACTTTCTAGCAAATTTTAAATTTTTTTATCCGAATTAATCAAATTTTGGAATGGTACCCCCGTGAGACTTATACGTCACATTAGGTGAAACCCAACTTTGAATTACGGTAAAACCGAAAATGCATAACCCTACACATATTTCATAGAGAGACGATACGTCAGTGACAACCCCGTTATTCAGTTCTTTGAACCTTATATGTTAGCCATTCGCTAAGATATGGCATAATTGAGACGTTAAAGTTCTTTAAACTACGTATATAGTACCCATATTTTTTAAATATTCATGGTCGTAAAAAATAACGCGAGAAATGGAATCATACCTGCAAAGGAGAGTTATCGGCGTCGTCCACCAGCTCCACGGTGATCTCGGCCAACTTGTGAGCGACGATGTTGCCCTGGTCGTCGGGCGCGCTGAAGACGTAGGACTCCTTCTCCGCCGTGATGGTGTACTGCTTGGCCGCGTCCAGGGGCCCGAAGCTGTACGTGCCGTCGGCCGTCGTCGTGTGCGTGAGCTTGAGGTCATCTGCGGAAGGGTCGGCGCGCGTCAGCGAGGGCCGGCGCCGGCGGCTGCAGCGGCGGACACGCACCCGCGGACAGCGTGACCTGCGCGCCGGCCACGGGCGGCAGCAGGCGGCCGGCCAGCGTGAGCCCGCGGCGCGCGCGCAGCACCAGCGCCTGCGGCCGGCACTCGCCCAGCCCCAGCAGCTGCTGCGGCGCGCCGGGCGAGAACAGCAGCGCCGCCGACGACGCCGCCACCACCGCCACCTCGCCCTGCAACGGCGCCCGTCAGTGCCGCCCCTCCCCGCGCCCGCCGCCGCCCCCGCCCGCCGCGCCCACCTCGGCCATGAACAGCGTGTGCTCGAAGGCGTACCCGCCGCCCGGCTGCTGCAGCGGCACCAGCGGCCCCACGGGCCTCTCGCCGTGGCCCTCGCTGCTCACCAGCAGCACCAGGTCCTTCACCGGCTCCGGGGACAGCACGCGGACCACCACCGCGTGCGCCACGGCCACGAAACTCGCCGTCTGTGAACAAAAACACTCGACCACTGGCATTTCTTTTACTCGTAGGATCGAAATCGCCCCTGGCACTCGGCAGATGTTCTGTGCAATTTATTTTCGATTTTGCACGACAGAGCCACGTGTCGACCTCGTTCCGACAATTACATATTTGTTTACAAAAAAACATTACGATTAATGGAAAATTATTTTCGATACCAAAATTTCAAAATTCCAAAATCGTTTTGCTTCGCATTAACGTCACGTATTTTCATTTCACAAGCAATACAATTTGTTTTATTTAACATCTCTCAGCTGGTCCGACCGCGTGCGGAATACCGAAGTTTCGCGAAGAGCAGAGGTACGTGGCATTGAAGTATACCTTATGCGGCTTATATGGCAGAGGGGCAAGTGTCAAAGCGCATCTTTTATTCGGAACTCAAAGGGGGCAAGAGAAAGCATAGCAGACAACTCCTTAGATATAAAGATGTGCTCAAGCGCCACAAGAAAAATTGCTATATTAACCCAACAAGTGGGAGAAACTGACAGCCGATCCAGCCCACAATGGAGATCTTTTGTGGTGGCAAACAAAATGTTAGAATTTGAGACTCGTCAACGAATTGAGTTGAACGTCAAAAGTGTCGAGCAACCACCTGCGGCGACCAGCTGCTATTACACTGACGGTGTGCTCACGTGCCCCCTGTGCGCACGGATCTTTGCAAATAAGATTGGGTACGTTACTTGAAGCATTGTTTAATTCCTTGTACTTACGGCTACTTGATCACTGGAGGTGTCCACAATGGCCTGCGCAGGCCGGAAGCGATGGCAGCCTCGGGGGGTCAACGTGTACACGTCCTCATTCTCTACGCAGTGTTGACTATGTCCTTTGGGCACGGAGAACACGCCCCGGGAAGACTTGCTGGTGTACTCCACCTGCGAGGAACGAATCGATAACGTTTGTAATCAATTGACACGTAGTCTGGTACATGCTTACATATCATCACGCCTTTCTTCCGCAGGGATTAGTGTGTAACTAATCTATAAATTAACGCGAGTAGATCCTATACGAAATAAAAGGATACCCGGATAAATTATAACAATACCAGTACAGAATCATAATTTAAAAAATTGTAATCGGTGCCGGTGAAGCGGGTGGCGGGGTCACTGCCCTTGCGTGGTGCATACGAGCTGAGACAATTTTGCAAAACCTTACTAGACACAATTAGCCAGAATATTAAACAGAATATTTTTTTTAATATTTTTAGATGATTTAGCATTATTTAAATTTTTTTTATTGAATTGATATTCAATTATTTTTTGTGAATATCAATTCAAATAAAAAAAATTTAATTAATACAGTGAATAGCGACATTTCTCGCCAGGACTGGTAGCTGTAAAGGTACTAACTGGGTAATAAATCTGTCAAAGATTTCTCATAGATGGCGCTACGACTAAAAAGTCGTTGAAAGACCAAGTACAAAGACACGACGCAAGCACATAGAAAAATTCGTGAGGTCCGTTGGTTCGTTCCGTGGCTTAGTTGGTATAGCGTCTGGCACGGTATGCAAGAAGACGTCGTTCGAGTCCGACCGGATCGAAGGAATTTTTTCTGAGTGTTTTTTCTGAATGTTCGATCTTTGTATTAATAATTATGATTTAGCATTATTTCTATGATTAATTTCTTAAATATGGCGAGAATGCAAATCAACATAATGTATATGATTTAGATATTGAACGAGCACGGCGTGCCTTACGTGTAAGAAGCAACATGTACATGTGAATGAAGCAATAAGCAAGTCAATGTAACCTTGTTTAGAGCTTATTGCCAATGCATGTACATGTGCCAGCTGTGGACCAGCTTCATTAGGAAATCTTACAACAATCTAAGGGTTCAATACGCATTCCGTATCCTGGTGAAACTGTCTAGATTTTGCAGTGCGTCGAACATGTTTGCGGAAGCACGCATTCCGGACTTTTACGCTATGTTACGAGCTTACGAGTGGCCTCATTTTGGAAAAGAGTGCTTGCATCTGACAATGCAATCCTAAGAGTAGTATGTGCCACGTCCTTCGACAGCTCAATTTCTAAATACTGGATGTCTGTCTACTGGGAAGCGAATCGTAAATGACAAGTACCCGTTTATGTATTATTTTATCATTGACTTACAATCATATGGACGTCGGGTCCGCGCTAAAAAGTGTCCGAACTTATAGGGCGCTAAAATCGTATACAGAGCGTCATTCACGCTTTAGTCTTCGTTTGTTCGACTGACAGCGAAGCAAGCAAAATTAGATAGTACTGCGATGACATTACAATTTAAATTCAACGTTTTAGCTTTCTCATATTCCTTTACATGTCACTACGTTTAAATAGGTTGACTTGGGACATTTTTTTCGTGGTTTTTGTATTAGACCCGTCGTCCATTTATTTGTAAGTCAATGTATTTTATGTTAGGTCATATTTTATTTTATTTTATTGCATCCTATAATTTATTCTATATCATCAAAGTTTATTAATATGTTTGTTAATGGGCACTCAAAATGTATTATTTTTGTAATGTCAAGCATTAGACTAAAGAATTTAATAATAATAATAATTATTATTATTATAGTATCCATAAAAATCTGTACAATAAGCGCCATCTAGTTGATTTGTTTATTATCACCAATGGCCTGAAAAACATACATAGATACATATCTATGCATACACTCTAGACATAGAGTTGTTAAAAGCACCAAAATTTTGGTTATTTACTTTTTGATTCCGGATTTCCGGAAATGGTTTTACTGCATCGTAGGGCAAAAGTACTCATCTAGAAAGTCAAAGTTGGATTTTAAAGTAATTCTAGTGTGAACTTTTGATTATAGCAAAAAAGGTGAAGGCAAAGGGCACCTCGATGTCGTGCGAGGAGTGCAGCCGCAGCACGTAGCCGGTGTGGCGGAAGGGCGGCAGCGTGGCCAGCTCCTGCGTCACGGCGGCGTTGTGCTTGGCGTCGGCCCAGCACAGGCGCTCCGCCGGCACCGACACCTCCACGCTGCCCGGCAGCACCTCCTCGAACGTGTACTCGCCGTCTGCGCAGGCGGACTACACTTTTCCCCCGTAAATCGAGACCTTATTGTCGACCTCGGTGGCCCAACGGTTCATACTGCGGGCGCTGGATGAGGTGATCTCGGGTTCGATTCCCGGTAAGGCCCATTTAGGTAATTAACTTTTATAAATAGGTTCTAGCCAGGACGTACCAGAAAATACGAAGAATCCTCAAGTATGGGATCAGGCAGTTGACATGGTTGTTTGGCCCTTTATTATTATTAATATGGGTAACTATTTTGCCAAGAGCCCTTCGCTCGAAATTCGATCTCGGAGTTTGTCATCTTCTTGTAGACGACAAGTGAGATACCCACCGACGGCAGTGGTGGCGAGCGGCTGCCCCACGTACCCGCCGTCGGGCGACAGGGGCCTCAGGGTCACGCGCAGGCCCCGGCAGGCGGCGGGGACCTTGCACTGCACGCGGCCGCGCACCGTGGCCTTCAGCTGCGAGAACGCCACGCCCTCCACGGGCCCGTGGGCCACCGACACCTTCTGGCTCAGCGGGTAGAACCTGCACCGACATCGTCATCCTCGCAACAACTCACGCGGCACAGGGCAGTGCAGGCCCACGTTCTCCACTTACTGCAAACCGTCCCTCTGTTCCGCTTCCGTGACGTCTACTTTGGCAGAGTACATGCCGGGCGGCAAAAACGTGCACCATTTGCCTGAAATTTGTAGAAAAGAAATCATATTATACAGTGTTTTTTTTTTGTGGGACAGTATGGGGAAATCAGAAACACATGGAAACTGTCTTAGGAACCATTATACTTTTTTTTGTGAAAACAATTTTGGCATAGTCAATTTTTTGTCAACTAAATTGATCAATTTTTTTAAGTTTTGTACGACTCAGTTTCATAAAGGGATCATTTCATAGTACGGGACGAAAAAATCGGGACTGCAGAAGTTGGTCAAATTTCATAAAATATTTTTCATATAAAATGAATAAAATTGATTTCAATCCCAAAATTGTTCTCACAAAAAAAGATTTAATGATTCCTAAGACAGTTTCCTTGTATCTTCTATGGTTTCGGATTTCCCCATACTGTCCCACTTAAACAAAACACTGTATATACAACTTAGACACTAAAACTTTGTTAACATCTCAGAAAAGCATGAGGTGCCAAATACAAATAGTAGTTTACAAAATATATGAAATACGGGAATCTCTTTAACATTTCACTTTATAACTCGAACAGAAACTAAATCACGTACGTTACGTCATCAAAAAATCTATTTGTATAAAATGAAGGCTTTAGGAATGGAATATTCCTGTACGAGCACGATATGAGCATAAGAACCGTCAGCGCGGGGCGTGACCCGCACGGCGGCGCCGGCGTCCGCGTCGGGCAGCACGACGACGTCCCTCGCGTCGGGCGGCGTGACGGCGCCGCACACGCGCCAGCGCGCCGCCGCGGCCGCCGGCAGCGACGCGGGTCCCGCGGCGGAGATCACCACTTGCACGTCGTCGAACTCGCACAGCTCTGCCGAGTTTTATTTTCCAATTCAGAGTAGCTAACGGCGGTAGATAAGAAATTACTACCGAAGCCGAAGGCTGAGGGCTTCAATGACTCGAGTTTCGAATTTTTTACCGCCCGTGCTACATGCAACGTTCTTCATCACATTTGCGAGGAAATAAATATAATGATAATTTGTTTCTTGTATGAATAAATATCGCTTCACAACACAACAATTACAAATTTTGCAAATAGCGGGATTTTTTTATATATAAAGGGATGGCCAGCTATTCTTCCATAGATAATACAACTCCAACTAAAATGTTGTAAAAGGCAAAAACGCATACAGTCGTGACAACTGATCATAAGTCGTAAAGATAAAAAATTAATAATTTCAAAATCAACACTACAAAATTAGAATTTATAAAATTACTTTAGCAAATGTTTAATTATTTTTTTCTATACTTCAAGCTTATATGGAGTAATTCAGATTTTTCGAGCATTAAAACTTTTTCCTTAATCTTAACAAATATTAGGAGTACAGTGCAATGAAATGAAAAAATCCATTACCGACATAAGGCCTATGAACGCAGTAGAGCTCCTTGTGAAAGAGTTCGTCCAAGGAAGTACTGCCACCTTACCTACTTCTGCCTAAATAGTAATGTCAGCATTACTGCGTTCCGGTTTCGAAGGTTAAGGGTGCTGGTGAAATTACTGGCACATGGGACTTGTCAACTCATGTCTGACGGTGATCTTGGCGTTTTAAAGCTGCAACTACTACTGCGCTGCAACTGTTATGGACAGACGTGTTTACCATCAGGCGCACGACTTGTTCGTCCAGTCACCTAGTATTAAAAAAAAACCCCCCAAAAACCTAGGTAATTAATTATTAATTATTTATACAACTTACCATGCTGAAAACTTAATGTATAAGTTCCAGGCTGCAGCGAGGGTAGCGTGAACTTCCCGGCCGCATCTGTGTTGCCAATGGGACGACCATCCTTGAGTACTTGCGCGCCCGACACGCCCTTGCCGGAAACTGACGTCAGCACTGACCCTACCACCGTGAAACCTGTCACCTGGAACATTTGTAAGATTTCCGTTGATTGGAGATACCTTTAAAAAAACATAAAAGTACTGGTAATAAGTACATATACATACTTAATGCGACTTGAACAAGCGAAAGAGGTTAATCAGGAGCATAAAGACTGGAGGCCTCTGCCTACTACAGGGTTATTTACAAAATAATAACAACCTCGCAGGACTATATTAGTAACATCATAAACAATGACTATTATAATTGTTCCGTGACTTTTTCCAAAAAAATTAATTTACAAAAAAAAAACTTTTCAGTTTTTGTTGCATTGACGCTCTTTAGAGTCGCATTTAGTAGTAAGGTAGTAAGCTCTAACGTGCAAGCGTCCTCCCCTTCCTTCCGACCTGACGGGTGCCGACCTTCACCCCCACTTCCGCGTTTTCCATCGGATTGGTATTTACACTTGCTACCTTTTTTTATCTTTAGAAGAGATCTCTTCCAGCCAACCCTAGCCGTGGTGTAAAAATGAAATTTGCGCGACTAATTATTGTACAATATACATACAGTACAATAAAATTAAAATTTAAATGTAAATAAAACAATACAAATGGTGATAATATACATCAAAGTCAAGGTCAAATAATCATTTATTCCATGGGTAAAACCGTTACAATTGAAAACGTATTTTTTTTAAACTATTGCTTGTTCAATGTCCCGACTACTCTGAGAAGATACTCCAGGGATTTCTTTTTCTTTCTTTTCAAATAAACTTAAATGCGATAAAATACAGTTTGAATATATTTGCGTAGAGTCTAGACTCATGTTGTCTTTCCAAACATCTTTATCTAACACGTAGTCTATATACAAGTTTGTAATTTAACTTTTCAATTAAAATACTTTTCATGTAAGTTTTAAACTTACGAAATGGTAACTTGAAATCTTATTGTAAGAACGTATACAGTTCCCCATAAAAGAATCGTTTACCTTAGTTAAACGAAATCGTTGTACCATGAGTTTTTGAGATTGTTTATGATGTTAGTAAGATAGTCCTCCAAGGTTCTTTGTATTTTACAAATACCTTGTGTAATGTTTGTTTTTGTGCATGTTAAAAGAAGGATGGCGAAAGCTGACGCGATAACAATTAAAATCAACGAAGAGCCGTTCTTGGACTTTGCTAATATGATTTTACGTTTTGGTTTATGTCTAGTTATGAATACATTATTGTATATTTTTAGAAGTCGGGAATAAAAAAAAATTAAAACAATGTATTTTAAAATAAATGCAAGAACACAATTGGTTCAGTTCGACCATAGATTAGGTAACGATCTTGTACCTATGTTTCATTTTAAGCATTGAATATTTACCTACCTATATTTACATTGAATATTTATTGGTTATTTTATAGTATACATACATATAATCCATTCCAAAAATCCATTAAACAGTAATGACATAAAATTTAAAGAAACGACAATGTGACAAAATGTTTAGACAATATTTAAATGAGAGATGAGTTAGCAAAGGAACGTTTTGACAAGAGGCCTCTTGCCAATGTCAATGTCTTATTGAGATTGAAAACTACTATGTGACCATTTGTCGCAGACTTCTGCCAATTGGGCAAGTTTATTTTTTTTTACATTTCACTGCGGCACAACATGTTAACGTTATATTGAACGTGGCAGAGTTTAGCAGATTTGGGAATATTCAGCAAGTTCTTTATTATTTTTGGGAACAAACTGAAAACTTGTTTGTTTTGTGCTACTGTACATTATTTGAACATTATGAAGCGAAATACAGGACAATGTCATAAACAAAACTTATATCAACTTTATAACCCCAGCTTCTACAGGCTGTACTCAACTAGCTTTTTCGATGCAATGATAATCAATCACAAGTATTGATAGGTCTCTTTAATGCACGTCATCAAAAACACTGGGTCACAAAATACATGGGATGTCGCCATCTCTTTCCAACAAACAGATTAAAGGACACAAATTGAAACAAATGTATTTCTTCTTAAAGAACCCCTGGCTCCACCAATCAGCTCCCCAAATAGCAATATGTACGTACCTAGCCTGTTATCTATTTGAGTACTTACACACAACATTGCATTTAACCTTATCAATTAGATAAAAAATAATCGAATGCCACCTCACACACTATTCATTCCCCACCTCATTTAGGTGTGGGATACAATGTTAAACTCAACCCGATTTTGATTAACATTTCAATTGTTACTAATCATCGATATCACCGTCAAAGTTTACGTCCACTGACAGGCGCGGACCTCCTCTAAGAAGAGCGTTGAGGCCATAGTCCCCACATTTGCCCAACGCCGGTTGTGGATTCATAAGCAGAGATGGGCAAACGCCAGTGCTTTAACCCGCTTTGTTAACGGGTTTAAATCGGGTTAAAACCCATTAACGCTGAAATCTAGGAAAAAACTATTTACAACTAAATAATTGTTGTAAATTGAGTTTTGTTCAAATTGAATTATCTTATTACAAAAGTTTATTGCTTTCTGATCTAGATGATTCGATTTGCCTTTCTAATGAATCTATCGCTTGAAAATCGCATTGAAATAAATTGATACAGAAAATCATTAGATCACACAAACTCGAATCGATTTTCATACAAATAAAACAGTAACGTGTATTCTTAATAATTAGAATCCACAGGGTATTGTGTAGAGGTGCCTCTTTTTCGTCCAAAAAAGATTTTTTTTTTACATCCAAATTTGTAATAAGTTTGGAATTATAGCAAATTCCGTATTCGCCCACGATTTGGGGCAGAAATGGGTAAAAAGCCTTGCAAAAACCTGGAGGGATTGGTTGGGTTTTAACCCACTGTTCATCTCTGCTGATAAGTCTTCCAAAAGCTACGGACCATCTTCAACATGCAGGTTTCATCATCTTGGTTTCCTTCTGTAAATATAAAAAGAAATGATGCCGCTTACCTCGAAAGCATTCTTGATATATTGACTATCATGTCCCACGGAGAAAACTACAAATTCAGGCTTGATATTGTAGCTAACAGCAGCCTGACCAGGGTTTTTGGACAGTGCTATCAGTTTGTATTCCCCGGCTGGTACGAGGCCAAAGCTGAATTCTCCTGCAGAGTCTGTAATTGAGTGGCAAATGGGAGAATCGGGGACTCCTTGAAGGAGAGCTGTTTTGCAGCCCTCTACGCGGAATTTTGGGTTGCCCTGAAAATTGATAAAAATACTATAAACTTGTTCTTAAAGAGTGGTAGTTTTCTCTACAATCCTTAAAATGTTTTGCTATTACCTTTGAATATAAGAGTATATAGATGCCCCCAATAGGAGTACCGTAAGAGGTGACGGAACCCTTCACATCATATCCTTTCACTGCCAGCACTCCTACCGGCAAAGCTGTGTTGCCCTCCTTCACTTGCACTACAGCTTGAGATGGGTCTAATGTCCATCTAAAATAAATCTTTATATTAACAAGGTAAGCTAAAACATTTTTTTAAGCATTATATAAAATAAATGGTACAAGTGAATGTTTGAAGGAGTCAGACAGTGAGAGGAGAATAGTCAGACTTGTTTGAAGGAGTGGAATGACAGTTCGTTGTGCAAAAGCGTAGCCCGCTTACAAGCAGCTAGTTTATAGTCGATAAACATTGTATTCTGTACTGATTGAATATTGGCCACGTTTATGCAATAAATAGCCGAACTTGCCGATTTGATCACCTGATCCGAACCGATCATCAACAGTCCAATATTCGCTGGGGACAGATTCATTTCAAGTGTCAATTTTTATAAGTTCATATATACAATACACCGCATTTAGAACTATGTTAATGCAGAGGGGAGGCATATTTTAAAGTTTTGATTTTAATGCATTGTAGATAATTACATCCAGCTGTTCTTATTAAAGAGTACCTATATGAACAAAAATTTATTTCGATACAAAAAGACCAACTGTCAAAATAAGAATAAACAAAGTAATGACGTAATTAGTCATCATAAGAACATTGAAACATTCACAATTCAAACGCTTTTGGCGAAATTTTACCTTCTTTCACAATCTGTCAATATAACTGTCACACAAATTTTACACAAAGTGGCAACTTCAAAAAAGACAGACTATATAAAAGTTATACATTGGGAAATATTTTTTTTTTCCGGATTTTAATAGCGTATATTTGTTTTTTTTTTCAAACAAACCAATGTTTCGGATCCTTTACAGATCCCACAGTCGCGGTTGAAAAATAGATTTATTGTGTGTGCAACAATCGCGAAAACCTAAGAACTCGATAAACTTATACATTTTTATCACCATCATCATGACCATCAACATCCCATTATACTTTCACTGCTGGGCAACGATATCTCCTAAGAAGGTTTAGCGCATAGCCTGCCTCACACCCCATGGGGACTGCACATGTTTTCCTAGTGTTATGAATCTTCTTCGGCATGGAAGTTTCATCACAATGTTTTCTTACACAGTTAGCGAGAGGTATTATTATTACACATTCAGAAACATACTTTACTCAGAAATTTAATTACCATTAATCAATGCCTGTATTGATCCAGCATGACGGGCTGTAGCTAAAAAATACAACTTACAAAAGATACATGCCCAACAGTGGAAACAGTATTCAAGTAGTTCTGTATCATTTACTTTACTAGAACACAAACTTTTTCAAGTTTTGTGTTACTGACAGGCTTGAAATTTTTGGGGCTTGAAAACAGAGAGAGACACCTTGTATTTCTTGAATTCAAGATATAAACTTTTTCGAATTGGTTTTTGTTTGGGTGTTTTTGAAAGCACACTATAGATAATTCTCTTGCTCTGGCACAGAGAATTCTCTCTCATTGTTGCCGGATCTGCTGAAAATCAGAGTCGTAGCACTTTAAGGGTCGTATTCTAGAACTCTATTCAATGCTCAAGTCAGGATTGCACTGGCAACACAAGCACTGGAAATACGACCCTAATGGCAGGGACTTGAGTATGATATCAAGTGCTTTAAACCATTCTCAAATCCTGACTTGAGCATTGAGTAGACTTCTGGAATACGACCCTAAGTGAGACAACATCAAGCTGAGTGGATCACCATTTCCATGGCAGCACAGCACACACGCTTTTTACTCTATTATTATATGTAATAAAAGAGACAAAATTACGGCACGGAATTATCATGTAGGGGCCACATTACTAATGCCAACAACCTCTTCATAATTAAAAAAAAAATGCCTTCGTATAATATTAAACTTGCATCAGAGAGTTACCTGCAGACCTCATTTTACAAAACTAAACCTACTTACTTTACCATCAATATACATCCTTGAAACTGCAATGTTTGTTAGAAAACACATATACATTTTTTAACCAGTTAAAAGTGTTCACTGTAAACACAAATTATCCCTCCCTACACCTAATTTAGAGATGTATAAAAATAGCCCTTATTACAGGGCTATACTCATATAATATAAAAAAATACCAGACATATTGAAAATAGAGGTTAAATATACCTTTTAAAAACAAGTTAAGTCTGTTACTTGTATCTAAAGGTTACTACTCAATAGAAGAGTGCTTGTCAGATAGAAAGCTATGAGAAATATGTATAAATGTTCTGTCTCTCACGAACCTACTATTACTTACTTCTAATATAAGTGCATATTTAGTCATTTTTAAGTGGTAATGCATGTTTGAATTTTATTAGAGTAGTCAATATTAAAGTATAAAATTGTTAATTAAGTATATATAAAATTAATAAATAGGTTACAATACCCTAACAGGCTCTACCAGAGATACCATTCTCTGTAGGTACTCATAATGCAATAAATAAATAAATAATTTTGTAAGGTTTTTATCTAAATCTTAATGTTATTTTTATTATTATCATTATAAAATGTATGTGTACTGTGTTGTTTATTCAAGGAATAAATGTTTTCCGTTTCTATTATTCTTAATGTAAATATAAATACTCATGAAAAATAATTAAGGCAAAAGTAAGGGTTTTTATAAATTGTTTACCATAAGCACAAAACTTTCTAATTAACAAAATCATCTCATACTGAACTTACTTAGGATGAGTAGCTTTCAATGTATATTTTCCAGGTATTACAGGAGTAAAATGGAAGTCTCCACCAGCCGCAGTGACAGTGTCTCTAGTTTCGCCGTTATCATGAATCAACTGTACAGCAATGCCACTGGGTCCCAGCGTCTGGCCCGCAGTGATCACCCGACCCGTTATACCGAACCCGTTGAAGGCAAAATTTATGTCCTGCCCGGTAGAACATGGGTCTGTTGCACCATCTACATTTAATTCTACTTGAGAAGGCTCAAAACTCCATCCCGCCGGCGGATGCACCTTTAACACGTATTCTCCTTTCTCGTATAAGGGTAAGAAGTAATACCCATTTGTAGGAGCGCATTCCGTTCGCTCTTTCAGACTGCCTGTCTTAGTGTACCTGAAAGTTTTCATAGGTTATAACTTGTTTATAAATGAAAGTAGCCTCAAATAATTAATACGCTATATTGCTATATTTGATTAATGAAGTAGTACAGGTTATTATAGTTAAAACAACAGAATTACAAGGAAAATCTAATTAGATTACGTGGTGTAGGTTAACTCACAGGCCGATCTCAATTTTTGAAAAATCCAAATTCACATGACTTTTAACAAATCCGCCACATCCTAGAATGTCATTAGCACTAATTATTCTAACAGACAGATTTAAAATTAATATTAAAACACAGTTCCCGAACAAGTGATCACAGGCCGCCATATTTGTTTGTAGTGCATTAGTGCTGCGCTCCTGCTGACCAAGAAATGAAGAAACGTCATGTTTAAATCAACATCAAATAAATAGGGTGCAGTATAATCGATCGATTATAAATATTGAGTAACAAAAGCGAAGGAGTTTTCGCAACTTTTTGGTCCTAATAGAAAATACTAGAGCCCGCTCAACGGTGTCTTGCCATCCTGTAAGTATCTTGCTATGGAAGTCGTTGTGCCCCACTAGTGTTTTTTTACATCTATACCCATTCCAAACCTAATCACAAATTAGAAAGGTTACCTAATAATGTATTTTACCTTTCAAAAGTAATGACCGTCTTCGACTCGTACGTAGGATCGATGGGTCGGTTCATATTTTCAATTGTAATATAGAATTACTGGACTGTAGGCCGGAGCAGTGCCCACTTACACATTCAAACTTTTCTTACGCCTAGGCTTTTATCTTAATATGGCAAACATCCTTTGAAATATAACACTTGTGTAGACTAAATGATCTTATATACTATATATAAAAAATATAAAAATTATTCGTTAATTTAAAATATTCCCGATGCTCATTGAACTATGCGAATAAATCAAAGAGAATTTAAGCACTACGTTGAATAAATAACAAAAAAAAGATCGCGTCAAATTCAATGGCGTCAAGACATAAATATTAAAGAGTTTGCAAATAGTTTGCAACACACCGGATGAAACCAATAATAAAATTACCAACCTGCAATGACTTTCATAAACGCATAGCATAGCTCATCGTTCGCCGCAGCAGCCGTCTACGTATTTTAATAAAAATTAAAATCTAGCTAAAGGATGATTATATTTATTTAATTCTACATAAACATTAAATTTTACTTTTATAAAAAGTAATTATATCCTAAAATGCTACATTACATTGAAATACACGCCATCCTCATCCCCAGCACGACGGTCTGTGATCTTGCCCTAGTCTCACTCATCTACGGTCAGCGAATTTGACAATGTTGTCTACCCATCTCCCTACCTAGGTCTCACGTTTCTGTAACTACTTCTCGCCCACCATTCGATTGTTGCTTTACTTCATCTCTTCACACCACGCCTCGTAATATGTCCTACCCAGCTCCATTTTACCTCCGCTATTCAGTTTCCTGTGGTTTCCTGTGTCTTGGATGTTCGTCTTCGTATTTCGGAGTTAAGTAAGTTTGATGCTAACCTGTGTTATAACGGTTATAACCAATGGTCGGGAAAAGATGAATATAGCTGCAAGGAGCTACATAGCGTTGTTAAAACCACCAAATATGAATTATATGCATTATATGGGTAAGGCAAAATAAAAAATGGCACTTTTTGATCTTGTTTAAGCGTCCAGCAGTTTTTTAATAAAAAGTATTAAAATAATTTACTGAGATCATTTTCCTTTTAAAATACATTTCCACTAATGGTTCGAATTTTTAAGCAGCTGTTATACTGTATTTTTGAATCTAAATAAAATATTTTTAGAGCGCGATCAGAACGATTCTCATGCAAACTAAAATGTCCTAAAATTCCCTTCGTAAATAGAATTTTAAATTAATATTTTTTCTTAAGTTCTACTAGCAAATGTCGCCGTTCCGTCAATGTGACCATTCTTGTTGCTTTTTATTCTCTGTTTTGGTAAAAGTTCAGTTATTGCATTTTTTACATGGCACTATTAGAATTACTTTAAAATCAAACTTTGATTTCCTAGGTCACTAGTTTTGTCCTACGTTGCAGTAAAACCATTTCCGGACATCCAGAAATCGAAACAGTAATTAACTAATATTTGGTGGTTTTAAAAACTCTATATCGCCCCTTGTAGCTATATCTATACATATATCTATGTATGTGGAACACCTTTTTCTGACCATTGGTTATAACTTACTTACAACTATTGTACGGGTAAGTACGTAGGTACCCTACATACAAGAAGTAAATACTAAATAAGGTAGGTATGACCGTACTTCATAATGCCCGTAAATGTTCTTAAAATGATTATAATATCTATTCTACGAGTACTTGGAGAGCAATACAATTATTGAGTATTGAGTCTCTACCTGTATTGTGTCTTTACATGATATGAAACGCACATTTAACTTTTTGTCTGGCATTCTTATTTCTTCTTTTTAGGAGGATCGGGTGGGCCTAGAATAACAGCCTTGTTTAATTCATCTAATTCAGGGTTACGTTCTATTGCCACCAGCTTAATTTCAAAATACAGTGTTGTATACGGAGGAATCGTCGGCGGAACTCCTGTAGCGCCGTACGCTAGGTCCGAGCCAATGATGAGTTTTCTTATCTCTCCAATACACATGTACAATAAACCCTGTCCCCACCCTTTAACGACTTGCATAGATCCCAATCTAAAGGTTAGAGGATTGTTTCGAGGATATGAGCTGTCGAATTCAGTGCCGTCTTCAAAAGTACCCTGAAATAAAAAGAAGCACAAAGGGATAAATATATAGAGCCAACGATATATCGATATCTATTCATATTTGTATAGAACTTAAAGATTTAACTCGTTAAGCGCCTTTAAGAAATACAAGAGCAAAACTATTATAATTAATAACAAATTTTACACAGGCGCTTAGCAGGTGCTGACTGCTGTACTGTATTGTAGGTCTGTGGTATTGGCTAGTACTTACCTTGTAGTGCACGTGAATTAAGTCCCCTTTTTGAGTTCTCACCCGACAATTATGAGGTAAATGCAGTACTAGCACAAGAAAAGTGTCAGGCTTGCTAAAATTTTCCGATGAATCAAATACTTCGACTAATACAAATAGCGAAGACATAAAAATAATGGCAATTGCAGTCTTCATTTTGTTTTATAATTCAGATAAATTGTAAAGTACCTTTGTTATTATTTTGTCTTAGGTTACCGCCATAAAACGCCGAGCGGTCATTGATTTATTTTTATTTTTTTTAATTCTGCAGCTGGTAGTGCTGTCTCAGCTAGTCTCATACTCGATTGATTCGTAAGCTTAGTAAACCTGTTACAGTACATTCATCATTCGTTGTACATTATAAAATATCGTTCTGTTTCGACCAAGGACATGCCAAAGTATACTTCTACCCTAGTGGGGACATACCCTAAATAAAGCACGTACATTTATTTATATGATTTCGAAAATACTACGTTCGTTAAATAAATTTTATACTTATGAATAAAACACGTGACCATAGATTTCGTTTGAATATCACCTTACAAAGTTGTGTTTTAGTTGTTCTGCATAAAATCAATCAATTTTGAAAATGTGTGATAATGTAGATATTTACTTTGGGACCAGAACAGTAGTAACCTGAGTCTTTGTATCAACTCAAGTAGGTACGCATAATTTATTGTGCATTTTTATATTTATAATAATTATAATATTAGAATATAAAAATTAAACAATTTATGAAATAGTTAATGGGGTTAAGCGTACGTTAAAAAATAAAAATAAGAAGGTATACGTTTTACTACGGTATAATGACAACTTTATAGGATTTAACTAAGGATTTTATTTTTTTTAAACAAGTTGCATACGCTTATAAATACATATGTTTTGTAAATCAAACTAAAACAATAAATTTAGATAACAATGGTTCAAATTTTTATTCTATTAAAAAAGGAAGGTTTGGCAATTATGAATGAAAAATGATATCTGATAAATGTCCGTCACGACCACCGTTACAGATGTCAATTCTTTCATCGAAGTTTTTAATCACTTTTTGACAAAATGGTGGGTCTATTTCGTTAATCACTTCACGTATTTTGAGTTTTTGAAGGTTGCAATCGATTCGATTGGCTCCGTATAGACTCTGTCTTTAATATAATCCCATAAAAAATAATTAAATCACATGATCGAGCTGGCCACTTATCGAATACTGAACGTCGTGAAATTATGTGACCGGGAAATTTGGTTTGCAATAGTCATTGTTTCGGTGGCTGTGTGACTAACATATTACAACAACTTCAAAATATCATTTTGAGATATATAGCAGATGTCGCATGGTTTACTACAAATAATGAAGGGAAGTGATACTAAATGAGCTACAAAAAAGACTAGATAATGATCGAAATGATCGAGCTTGTCAACAATTGAAAGTCACGACTGAAACGATACGCATGATCCTGGAACAAGACAAAATCTAGTCATAGCACTCAAGAGGGACAGAGCGCATTTTCCCAGTGGAAAATTTAGTGTAACATTTCCACTGGGAAAATGCGCTCAGTCTAGACGACAACAAATCAAATGTATTTTGAAACGAGAGTATTTCAAATTTATAAATCACAAAATACATTTTAAGTAGTAATTGAAATACAAATACAAAACACGTATTTGTATTTGAAATAATCCGTATTTTATACAAGTAATTCAACTGTTTCCATCATACAAAATTAAAAACGAGATTAATGTTTATTGAATTTATTGAATTCTACTTATACATTAAATTTGGCTTCAATAAAAAGTTATAATAAGTAATACATCCTAAATATCACATATTACACTGAAATATACGCCATCCTTATCCACAACCTGACGTCATCCCTTGCAAGATATAGGCATCCCATAACTCACGCGCACCGCCATGATCTTGCCCTAGGCTCGCTCATCTACGGTCAGCGACTTTGACAATGTTGTTTACCTCGCTGCAGAAGTCTCACGTTTCTATAACTACTTCTCGATCACCATTGGATTGTTGCTGTACTTCATCAGTTCACACCACGTCTCACAATATGTCCGACCCAGCTCCATTTTAGATCCGCACGATTCTCGATTCAGATTTCGAAGGTTTGATGCTGTCCATGTGACATAACTACGGGTAAGTAGGTACATACAATAGTAAATACTAAACAAGGTGGCTAACAGTATTTCATAATGCCCGTAAATGTTCTCAGAATGATTGTAACATTTATTCTATGCATGGAGAGCAATAAAATTGAGTATTGAGTCTCTACATGTTTTGAGTCTCTACATAATACGAAACGCACATTTTACTTTTGTTTGGCTTTCCTAACCCTCGATTCCAGGAGGATAGATTGGGTGTGTCCCAACACCCTTGTTTAATTCATCTGTAGAAGGGTTATGCTTGAATGCCATTAGCTTAATTTCAAAATACAATGTTGTATATGGAGGAATCTTCGGCGGATTTCCTACAGCGCCGTACGCTAGGTCCGAGCCAATGATGAGTTCCCTTACTTCGTCAACACACATATTCAATAATCCCTTATCCCATCCTCTCATGACTTCTTCTAGTCCGAGTGTGAACTTTAGAGGTCCGTTTTGAGTATACGAGCTGTTGAATTCAGTGCCATTTTCAAAAGTGCCCTGTAATAAAAAGAAGCACAAACTAAGTGTATAACTAAGCGCCTACAAGAAACACAAGAGCAAGACTATTACATTAATAACAAATTTTACACAGGCGCTTAGCAATCTATTGCTCACTGCTGTATGCATTGGCCACAAACCTAGCACGTAGGTATGTAAATAAGCGTGGCGTCATCCTAGGTCTGTGGTATTGGGTATTTTACTTACCTTGTAGTGCACGTGAAGTACGTCTCTCTTTCGAGTCATGTTTATCTTCTCGCAATTATCGGGCAAATGGGTTACCCTTATATGAAAAGCTTCAGGCTTCCTATCATCTTCTGGCGAACGAGATACGATTAGTACAAATAATGCGGACATGCAAATAATGGTAATAGCAGTCTTCATTCTGTTCTAGTATTCAGATAAAACTGTGTCTGAGAACACCGCCGGAACGGTTATTGATTTATTTTGTTTTTTTTTTTAATTCTGCAGCAGGTAGTGCTGTCTCACACTTCGATTTGGATGCTTAGTAAATGTGTTATAGTACATTATAAATATCATTCTGTTTCCATTAGGGATATATCAAACACGTAGATTTAAACAATTTCGTAAATACTGGATTCGTTAATATTACGCTTATTAAACACGTGACCACAGGTTACTATTGAATATCACCTAAAAAAATATTATTTTAGTTGCTCTGCATAAAATTAATCAATTTTGATAATGTGAAATAATTTTAAAGATTATATACTTTGTGAACAATAGTAACCTTGGTCTTTGCATCATATCAACCCAAGTAAAAATTCACTAAATTTATGGTGCATATTTATTATTTAATATTAGAATATAAATATTAAACAACTTTATCAAATAAGTAATGGGGTGTAAGTGTACATTAAAAAATAAAAATAAGGCTTAGAAATACATTTTACTAAGGTAATGACAACTTTACAGGATTTAAGTAAGGATTTTATGTTGCCATAGCGGTTTTAGCTTTATTTTGAATTGGAAGAAATAGTTTAAATTCTGCCGGTAACTCGTCTTCAGCGTACAGTCTATCGGAAAAGTAAACCCTACGGATTCTGCAGTTGGCGTGTATTTGCACCCTCAGAGTTTCCACATAATTGGTCCCATATGCCCTTCGAGTGAAATCCGCAAGGTTAAACTGTATTTGATTCCAGCCCTCATCCAGACGCATTGGCATAGTGCAGATGAAAGGTTTCACACGAGTGGTAGACTGGTAATTGCTCGCTCTGAAACGTCGCCTTACATTTTTATCATCTAACACCTGAAACAAAAGAGGTTATGTTGATATTTAAAATAACCTCGAAAACGCTTCGCTATATGAGAACAAATTTTAAAGTAAACAAAAAGCGAAAGCATGTAATGCATACTTGTACTTCGAATGTGAAATATTTCTTGAGGTTCTTGATGATCATAACAAGGAAGGGAAGCTTAATGCCGAGGGTCTTCTTGGGATCGGCCGGGCACGTTATATACGTCGTGCTGACATTGGTGCCCACTATCTCTAGCACCAAACTCTGGATGTCGTTGTCCGTTATCCGCTTTATGTGCCCATTGCGAACTTTTTTGTCCCAGATCTGCAAAGGTTTGCTGCCTATGCTGTAAAGAATTGACAGGAATCCAGACTGAAATGTGTTCTTGAACATCTTCTATTGTGAGGCCCGTAACTACAGTGTTCCCTTACATTAGCATGTAATTAACTAGGATAGGAAAGTTTAATCAATAAAGAGAGTCTTTCGCGGTTGCATTACACTTGACAGGCAGTAAATTACACAAAAATTTTGGACCCGGCCATTGGTCCCAAGCTCGGGTTTGTTTATTACAAAGTCTCCATAGCAACGTATTGGCCGAAAAGATCAGTACAAAATTTATTTTGTTTTAATTTTGTGCGTGAATGGTTCATAATAAAGTATTATTGTACATCTAAATTATTATATTTTAGATGATTGAAGCTTGCTGAGAGTGTAATAAAATTGAATACAATATGAAATTAATGGCAATGCCCTGCGTGAACAGGAACGTGCAGTTAAGCCACTTATTTTACCCACTTTCTTTGTAATTGCTAAATAAAAAGGAGATCAATAAATCTAAACTAGTAAGGCGTTGTCCTTGTCTAATATACTACTTGCGTGCTATTTAAAATGTAATTTGACAGCTGACATTCGCGATTTACTATCTGTGGAAGTGGTATTGTTTCAGTAGATGCATGTGCAATGGTGCATTAATTTTCTTTTATTTTGCGTTTCTGTTAGTTTATTCTAAGTATTTTGTAAATGATCTGAATAAAAAAAAACGCCTTTTTTCGCAAGGATAATGAACTTTTGATTGTTTCTTTTCGTGGCTTAGTGTATAGAAGAATTACGGTGAAAATGACGGAGGAAATGTCATCAAAAAGGTAAGAAAGAATTCTGGGATAAATAAGTTTATTTATGTGTTATATTGTATATTTACCTGGTGGCGTCTAACTCGGGGTTCCTTAAAGAAAGGTAACAGTGGTTCGTAGATACGATCCCTGAAAATGCTACTGCATTCGCCCTCCGTTGCTGCCTCTAGAGTTTTCATTCGTCTGGCTGTAGTCAACCAAGATTAACATGAATAAGATATGATCGAAATCCGCATAATATAAATTAAATACCTGGAATATATAAAAAATACAATTAAAAATTTCTACAAAACACTGTTTACATGGCCAAAGGTCATTAATCACTTGATTCTGACAGATGTTTGAATATAGAATTACAACTTTGAATTTTTTTTAATTACTAAGAGCACAATATGTTTGATTATTCTGCCCCTTTGAATTCACGTTATGATTATTTTCTTAGCCTTATCTTTCTTGGATTTTATGAGCAAATTATTTTGAAATATTATTTATCTATCCACTCTTCATACATACAATAACATAATCCTGTTATAACAAGTGTGATCTTTTATCATGTGTAAGTAAAATACTGTATATCATAGGTAGTTGCTTTACATAATTAAAATATTTAGGCATTGTTGTCATTGCTTTAATTTTATTGATTAATTTTGATTCTACATGTAAAATAATTTTTCCAGCCCTCTAATTAGATTCTGGTTCACAGGATTTGATAAGCACTATAGAAAATTATAAAAATACAACTATAAAATGAGATATTAATAATTAATGTGAACACTATAACAGCCACAAAGTATATATCACTCATTCTTATCTTCCTACAGACAATGAACTTCCTCTGACATGTAGTAGTCATGATGTTATTTCATTACCTACATTTTAATTTATCACATATACTTAATGTAATGCTCAATTGTTGTACATCTTTTTGAAAGCTTTGGAAACGTATCAGTTTTAATGCTTTCATTGAATTAATCTGGTTTTTGCAAACCCATCTTGATATGTATACCTTTAGGCCTAACTGCTTGAAAT